CCGTGCCTGGCCTGTCTTTCTTTCTTAATTAGAGACAGTTTTCCTGTGTTGCTCAGGCTGGAGTGCAGTAGTTTGATCATAGCTCACTGTAACCTCGAACTCTTGGGCTGAAGTGATCCTCCTGCCTCAGAGTAGCTAGGACTATGGGTGTGTGCCACCATGCTCAACTAATTAAAAAAATTTGTTTTTTGTAGAGACAGGGTCTCACTATGTCACTTAGGCTGGTTTCCTAGTTTTTTCTTAATTTCTTGTTATATATTGTTTAGAGTTTAGAGTGGATTATAAATTATCCTGTGGATTATTTCTAGTCACAGGACTTTTGGGGAGAGTTCCGTACATTACTTCCTAAAATTGAAGAAGAAAAAAACAATATATATAAACCTCTATATCATGTCTACTAAGAGATACTATATATAGCTTTGATTTAGTTTTAATAACATTCTTTTCTAGTTTCACCTTGAGTATTGAGGAATATATTGTTCTGATTACTTCTTAGAAAAAAAGTATTCAATTCTGCGGTTGTTACTCTGTATATGTTAGAACATCTTATTAATTAGTTGTTAGCTTGATGTGGCCAAATGGTATGAGAAGGTTAGGTAGCTGCCACCTTACTTCTGCCAATACTAGAAAGAGACAATAATTTTTCTGATAACATCCATTTCTAAGCATTCAGATGTAGTGGTAATGAAAGCAGGGGCTGGGGAGGCAATATGTTTGACATTTGAGTAAAGACTCTTGGCAGGAAAAAGAGGAGTGAAAAGAAAGGGAGAAGTGTGTGACACTTTTCAAACTTCTGCTCAGACAGAGCGATTGTTTTAGCACAGAGTGTGCTTCTGTCTAGGTTCTGCTCATAGACTGACTCCGCAGTATGCAAATAGGCATCTTTTAAGGAACATATGAGTTACACACAGTGATGGACTTTTATACTTTTTCTCTAATAAAAATGAGGAGGATGATCTTGATGATTAGATAAATTTCCATAGTAAAAGGTAGTATTAGGTGTCTGAGGAAAAGGGGAAGGGTAATAATGGCTAGGATGGTGAACTCCTTGCAGCGACATAGGAAATCATAAATTTTAAATCATTCATTTTTCTTTTCTTTTTTCATTTTTTTCTTTTTATTGATTGATTGATTGAGACAGGGTCTTGCTCTGTCCCCCAGGCTGGAGTGCAGTGGCATGATTATCATAGCTCACTGCAGCCTCCAACTGGGGGGCGGGGAGGAGTGGGTCAAGCGATCCTCTTGCCTCAGCCTCTCAAGTAGCTGGGACTATAGGTACACACCACCACACCTGGCCATTTTTCTTTTAAAGAGCAGTTATATTATTAGATATCTTATTAGGTAACTGTTCTGACAGTTCTACCTCTGAGCCCTTCTGAAAATGGAAGGTTTTTCTTCAACAAAAGAGATTTGGACTGATTGGCATGTGGTTATTTTTAGTTTTTATTTATTTCACTGTGAATTTTTATGTTTTGCCACAGAAAT